TCTCGTATGACCAATTCGGTAAACCAATGTTTTGGAGGAAGTAGCGCTGGAATCTTCGCGGTTAACGATAACGTTGCCTCGTTGATTCTTCCCTTGCATCGTAATATTTCTTGCCCGTCGAGAAACAACCCGAATTGGTGAACTAAAGGAGTCTTTAAGAACTCGATTTCTTTAGCGAATGACATTGATTGAACTGATTTCACCCATAAAGACTCAGCCGCCGACACTTCCGCTGACGTTAATTCTCGAGTTGATGTTTCTGGTGCTGGTGAATTGTTTCGAATTCTATTTTTCAGGTTTTGCACAAATCGCAGCACATACGCCGTTACTCGTACTAAACGATTTAGACTACTGGAGCGGTCGCAACTGATTACCTTCGAAATGTTCACTGGGTTCTCGACATTGGCTGACGTAACTGGAAGAACATGAACAATACTCGGTTGATCCTTAACAAGTTCGACTGTAGCTGCAGCATCAATGGTTGATGTAGTGAGACAAACAGGCCATTCGGATTCAGGTATAGTAACAAAAACTGGGGCCCATTCCACCATGTCTGAGCTGTCGACAAATCTGGACCAGACATTCCCTGTGATGGTAGATCTGCTGGATTGGTAGTACCAGGGCAGTGCCGCCAATCATCTCTGTTCGTCAAGCGCCTAATTTCCTCTACTCGGTGGCTGACGTATTGCTTCCACACTTTGTCATTCTTGATCCAACAAAGTACTGTCGTCGAATCAACCCAATATAAAATGCGACAATGTCCCGGAATCGATCGTTTCAGGGTATTAACAAGTCGGGCTAAAATGACAGCGCCAAGTAACTCAAGTCGTGGAATAGATTGTTTTTTTATAGGAGCAACTCTTGATTTCGAAGCAACCAGTCGAACTTGGACGTTGCCATTCTCGTACGATGATCTCGTGTAGACCACCGCCGCGTAAGCTGTATTGGATGCATCACTAAACGCGTGTATTTGTGTCTCAGTAGGAGGTGATTGTGAATCGAAATAACACCGTGGAATTCGAACTGCATTCAAGCATTCAAGCTCTCCAATTGCACGATTCCATTCATCGAGAACATTTCCTTCGAGGGGATCGTCCCATCCCATCTTTTCGACACATACGCCTTGAAATAAACATTTCAACCGAACAATGAAAGGGCTCAAGAGACCCAACGGATCAAATATTTTTGCAGTTATCTTGAGCAATGATCTTTTCGTAACAGGCAGAGTTCTAGCATATTCAACGATAGAAGACAAGTTAAAACACAACTCGTCAGTCTTACAGTCCCATTTTGTTCCAAGAACATTCACCACATCAACTTCCTTCTCTCTGTTATCGCTACCAATAGTGGACTTTGTGTACGACTGATCTTCAGTTATAGATTTCGGTTTCATATCGTCTTTCGAATGCTGATTGATCCCATCTCCTGCCTCAGCTTGGTGTATACGATCGAGCAATTCCCTTGA